GATTTTTTGAGCGAAGCTGGAAGTGTGGATGTTCAGGGAGATTTGGGTTTCAGACCACACAGCAGGCCAAACAAAAGCTGTCCGAGAGTGAACACAGCTGGGGTATGTCCTTACCCCTTCACTGTGGGACAGGGACTCCCCGGGCTCCTCTTCTTCCCACTCCTCATCGCTGTCCACTTCATAGTCGAGGAGCTTCTGAGAAAAAAAACACACGGGACTCACGACTGCCTTCGGGGCTGGAGGGAAGAGGCACAGCGAGGAGGTACAGGGACGGACACCCGCTTGGGCCCGCTCACCGTGTCCTGGGCCCAGGGGTCTCGGGCACGGATGAGCGCTGTCTTCTTGTTCCAGGTCCCCCAGTAGGCTGGCCGGTGGTTCTCACAGAACTGCAGGAGCTTCATCCTTCCGAATTTCCTCCTCTCGGGAACACCATCGCCCTTCCCAGGCTCCACAATCACGACATCACTAAGAAGGAAAACTCTGGGCTGAGGATCGTGCTGCCCTAGACTCACTCACACACGTCCCAGGGACCTCCCAGTAAAGCTGGCCTGACAATTCCAGAAAGTTGGGAGAGCGTAAAATACAGCACTACCTGTCCCCAAAGAAAGGCCAGGAACGTGGACTCGAGGGACAGAGGGAGGAGGGTGCAGCCTGCAGGAGGAGAGGGAGGAAGGCTGCCCAGGTTCAGCCTCGGAGCATTTTTAGCAAGGGGAGTTGAATGGAACCGGGAAATCTGCAAGAGCAGGGAGTGTCCTTCACTGGAGCCCAGGAGGGGCTGGGAAGACAGGAAGAGGAAAACTTCAGGGGCTCACAGGAAGGCCAGGTAGAGAGACGCCTGAGCCAGCAGAAGGCGAGCAGCAGAAGGCCCCAGAGCTCCTGCCTCGGGGACCCCAGGATTTGGGCAGCTGCCCTCCAGCGTCACTAGCAGGCGAAGGCTAAACTCCTTGGGCTCTGACCTGTTGAAAATGTCTGAGTTCTGAGTGGAAATCTGGGTGGGTCCGGACCTCAGAGGCTGCCGGCCTTTGAGGTCTTTCAAGAAGGATAATTCGCCATTCTGCTGCTGAAGGAGCTGGTCTAGCTGACTGCAGAGGTCTGGGTCGAAAACAGTCCGACACTGAGGGGCCAGGACCATGTGCTCTTTAATTTCAAAGGGGGCAAACTTTCCACAGGAGCCAGCAAGGGTCTGAAATAAAGAAGAGATCCAGTGGGGTCTTCAAGCAATGGGAGAAAGGAGGCACCATGGACACACACAGCAGGGTGCTGGTGGGATTCACCCAGGCTAAGGGCAAGGCGAAGACACTACATAGGTCCACAGAGCCGAGTTTCCAGAGCTACAGGATGGAGGTCAGATCGGGAGTCTCAAGGGATGGGATATGGGGACAGACTAAAGGGAGCTGTTTTGGGTGATGGAAATAGGGTGTATCTTCATTATGGTTAGCTGCCCCTGTAATTTGTCAATATGAAAGTCCTGAAAAGGATGTGTTTTATTGTATGTAAATTATATCTCAACAAACCTTGCTTTAAAGAAAAAAAAAAGGCCAGCACAGTAGCTCAGGCCTGGAATCCCAGCACTCTGGGAGGCCGAAGACAGTGGATCACCTAAGGTCAGGAGGTCAAGACCAGCCTGGACAACATGGTGAAACCCTGTCTCTACAAAAAAATTAAAAAATTAGTGGTGATGGCAGGCACCTGTAGTCCCACTACTCAGGAGGCTGAGGCAGAAGAATCACTTGAAGCCAAGAGGTGGAGGGTGCACTGAGCCAACATTCTGCCACTGCACCCCAACCTGGGCAACAGAGTAAGACTCTGTCTCAAAAGAAAAAAAAATAATTTAGAGACAGGGTCTTACCGTGTCGCCCAGGCTGGTCTCCAACTGCTCTGTTTTTCTGAGATGGAATCTCGCTTTATCACGTAGCCTGGAGTGCACTGGCACGATCTTGGCTCACTGCAACCCGCTCCTCCTGGATTCAAGGGATTCTCCTGCCTCAGTCTCATGAGTAACTGGGATTATAGGTGCCCACCACCATGCTCGGCTAATTCCTGTATTTTTACTAGAGACAAGATTTCACCATGTTGGCCGGGCTAGTATCGAACTCCTGACTTCAGGTGATCCACTTGCCTTGGCCTCCCCAAGTGCTGGGATTGCAGTCACGAGCCACTGCACAAGGCCAAAAGGAGAAATTTCTGTATAACAAAAGACTCTGTAAACAAAGAGGTAGTAGACTGAGACGAAATATCTGAGGATTAAATACCAAACTGTAAAAAAACTCTTTTTTTTTTTTTTTTGAGACGGAGTTAAGCTCGTTACCCAGGCTGGAGTACAATGGCACGATCTCGGATCACCGCAACCTCCACCTTCTGGGTCCTGGGTTCAGGCAATTCTCCTGCCTCAGCCTCCTGAGTAGCTCGGATTACAGGCCTGTGCCACCATGCCCAGCTACATTTTTTTATTTTTAGTAGAGACGGGGTTTCACCATGTTGACCAGGATGGTCTCGATCTCTCTTTTTTTTTTTTTTTTTTTTGAGACGGAGTTTCGCTCTTGTTACCCAGGCTGGAGTGCAATGGCGCAATCTCGGCTCACCGCGACCTCCGCCTCCTGGGTTCAGGCAATTCTCCTGCCTCAGCCTCCTGAGTAGCTGGGATTACAGGCACGCGCCACCACGACCAGCTCATTTTTTGTATTTTTTTTAGTAGAGACGGGGTTTCACCGTGTTGACCAGGATGGTCTCGATCTCTTGACCTTGTGATCCACCCGCCTCGGCCTCCCAAAGTGCTGGGATTACAGGCGTGAGCCACAGCGCCCGGCCCAAAAAAACTCTTATCACACATCAGGCCAAAAAAAAGGTCAGCTCTGTAAAAGAAAAAAAAAAGGGGGGTAAAAAATAGGAATTGGCAAGTCACAGAAGAACTAAAATGGGAAACCAACATAAAAAAATGCTCAACTGCACCAAGAGTCAAGTAAAAATGGAAAGTAAAACAAGAATATCAATTTTTTTAAAATGCATCAGACTGGCAAAGTTAAAATTCATTCCATCCATTAATATCACAGAATCAGGGCCGGGTACGGTGGCTCATGCCTGCAATCCTGGCACTTTGGAAGGCCGAGGCAGGTGGATCACGAAGTCAAGAGATCGAGAACATCCTGGTCAACATGGTGAAACCCTGTCTCTACTAAAAACACAAAAAATAAGCTGGGCATGGTGGCGCGTGCCTGTAATCCCAGTTATTCAGGAAGCTGAGGCAGGAGAATTGCCTGAACCCAGAAGGCAGAGGTTGGTGAGCCGAGATCGCACCATTGTACTCCAGCCTGGGTAACAAGAGCGAAACTCCATCTTAAAAAAAAAAAAAAAAAAAAAAAAATCACAGAATCATGAAGAAACATTTTCACACATTGCCAGGAATGTACATCTGAGTTTTTCCCGTCTGGCGGGCACTCTGGCCATGGCTAATGATGTTTCAGCAATGTGCTGTTTTGTCCTAGAGGCGATCTCATGCTTAGTTGGCTGTCCCAGAGGAGGCATGTGTGCAGAGAAGCATACGCAGGAACCCCTACTGTGCCACTGAGGGGCAGAGAAGCTCAGATAGTGGCAGGTTTTGCAGCTCACACTTGTGAGCCCAGCACATTGGGTGGCCAAGGTGAGAGAACTGCTGAGGCCAGGAGGTCGAGACCAGCCCTGGCAAGACAGTTAGACCCCATCTCTACTACAAATAAAATTAGGGAGGCTGAGGTGAGCACATCATCTCACGTCAGGAGTTCGAGATCAGCCTGGCCAATATGGTAAAACCCTGTGTCTACTAAAAATATAAAAAATTAGTGAGACATGGTGGTGGGTGCCTGTAATCTCAGCTACTCAGAAGGCCAAGGCAAGAGAATTGCTTAAACCCAGGAGGTGGAGATTGCAGTAAGCTAAGATCGAGCCACAGCATTCCAACCTGGGTGACAGAGCAAGACTCCGTCTTAAAAAACTAAACAGCCGTGCGCGGTGGCTCAAGCCTGTAATTCCAGCACTTTGGGAGGCCGAGGCGGGTGGATCATGAGGTCAAGAGATCGAGACCATCCTGGTCAACATGGTGAAACCCCGTCTCTACTAAAAATACAAAAAGTTAGCTAGCCGGGTGCGGTGGCTCAAGCCTGTAATCCCAGCACTTTGGGAGGCCGAGGTGGGTGGATCACGAGGTCGAGAGATCGAGACCAACCTGGTCAACATGGTGAAACCCCATCTCTACTAAAAATACAAAAAATTAGCTGGGCATGGTGGCGCATGCCTGTAATCCGAGCTACTCAGGAGGCTGAGGCAGGAGAATTGCCTGAACCCAGGAGGCGGAGGTTGCGGTGAGCCGAGATCGCGCCATTGCACTCCAGCCTGGGTAACAAGAGCGAAACTCCAACTCAAAAAAAAAAAAAAAAAAAAAAGTTAGCTGGGCATGGTGGCGCGTGCCTGTAATCCCAGCTACTCGGGAGGCTGAGGCAGGAGAATTGCCTGAAGCCAGGAGGCAGAGGTTGCGGTGAGCCGAGATCGCGCCATTGCACTCCAGCCTGGGTAATAAGAACAAAAAACTCCGTTTCAAAAAAAAAACAAAAACTAAACAAATGAATAAATAAAATTTTAAAAAGAGAGAGAGAGAGAGAAACCATGATATCATTGCATTATTAAGTATTATGCAACAGTGAAAATAAATGACATGGCCAGGCGGGGTGGCTCACGCCTGTAATCCCAACACTTTGGGAGGCTGAGGCAGGCAAATCATCTGCAGTTGGGATTTCGAGACCAGCCTCATCAACATGGAGAAACCCTGTCTCAACTAAAAATACAAAATTAGCCAGGCGTGGTGGCACATGCCTGTAATCCCAGCTACTCGGGAGGCTGAGGCAAGAGAACCACTTGAAACTGGGAGGTAGAGGTTGTGGTGAGCTGAGATCACACCACTGAACTCCAGCCTGGGCAACAGGAGCAAAACTGTCTCAGAAAAAAAACAAAACAAAAAAAACCAAAACACAGTGCTCGCTTCAGCAGCATATATACTAAAATTGGAATGATACAGAGAAGATTAGCATGGCCCCTGCACAAGGATGACTAACACACAAATTCGTGAAGCAGTCCATATGCTTTTTTTTTTTTTAAATAAAATAAAAGAAAAAAGAAAAGAAATGACATGGGTCTGTGTAGATACAACATCATGTTGTGCACCTTCAAGATATGCAATTGTTGTGAAATATTTTGAGATACAAATAAAAGGATAGGCCCAGAGCAGGGGCTCACGCCTGTAATCCAAGCACTTTGAGAGACCAAGGCTAGGAGAAGCTTTTGAGGCCAGAAGGTCAAGACCAGCCTGGGTAATATTGCAAAATCCCGTCTGCACAAAAAATTTTAAAAATTAGGCCAGGCGCAGTGGCTCATGCCCATAACCCCAGCACTTTGGGAGGCCGAGATGGGCGGATCACTTGAGGTCAGGAATTCGAGACTAGACTGGCCAACATGGTAAAACCCTGTCTCTTCTAAAAACACAAAAATTAGCTGTGAGTGGTGGTGTGCACCTGTAATTCCAGCTACTCAGGAGGCTGAGGAAGGAGATTCACCTGACCCCAGGAGACAGAGGTAGCAGGGAGCCGAGACTGCACCACTGCACTCCAGCCTGGGCGACAGAGTGAGACTCCATCTCAAAAAAAATAAATAAATTAAATAAATTAAATAAAAAAAGTTAGCCAGGTGTGGTGGCATATGCCTGTAGTCCCAGCTACTTAGAAGGCTGAGGTGGGAGGATCACCTGAGCCTGAGAGGTCAAGACTGTAGTGAGCTGTGACTGTGACACTGCACTCCAGCCTAAGTGACAGTGTGTGACCCAGTCTCAAAAATAAATAAATAATAAATAAATAAAGGGCAGATAGATATATTAAAAAGAATGAGGCCGGGCGCGGTGGCTCAAGCCTGTAATCCCAGCACTTTGGGAGGCCGAGGCGGGTGGATCACGAGGTCAAGAGATCGAGACCATCCTGGTCAACATGGTGAAACCCCGTCTCTACTAAAAATACAAAAAATTAGCTGGGCATGGTGGCGCGTGCCTGTAATCCCAGCTACTCAAGAGGCTGAGGCAGGAGAATTGCCTGAACCCAGGAGGCGGAGGTTGCGGTAAGCCGAGATCGCATCATTGCACTCCAGCCTGGGTAACAAGAGCAAAACTCCGTCTCAAAAAATAAAATAAAATAAAATAAAATAAAAATAAAAAAAATAAAAAGAATGAAATACATCTAAATATGGCAACATGATACATACCCGAGACAGCTAAGTACACATGTGTATGGACAGTGAGTGGAGCAGGGAAAGGCACTGAAGGCCCGCTAACATTAGAGATGGGCTCTCTCTGGGTAAAAGGGAAGGAGGGCTGTGGTTTCCATGCACAGATGGTGGCTCAGGAGGTCTGAGCTGTCAGGTGACCAACGCCAGGCGGGGAAAGTAAATCTTCGTGCATTCTACTGCTGTTTTATGGCTAAGCTTGCCCCTCAATCCTAAGTTTCCCAAGGGTAAAAACATGGTTAACTTCTCTCTTTTTTTTTTTTTTTTTTTTTTTTGAGACGGAGTTTCGCTCTTGTTACCCAGGCTGGAGTGCAATGGCGCGATCTCGGCTCACCGCAACCTCCGCCTCCTGGGCTCAGGCAATTCTCCTGCCTCAGCCTCCTAAGTAGCTGGGATTACAGGCATGCACCACCACGCCCAGCTAGTTTTTTGTATTTTTAGTAGAGACGGGGTTTCACCATGTTGACCAGGATGGTCTCGATCTTTCGACCTCGTGATCCACCCGCCTCGGCCTCCCAAAGTGCTGGGATTACAGGCTTGAGCCACCGCGCTCGGCCTCTTTTTTTTTTTTTGAAGCGGAGTTTCGCTCTTGTTACCCAGGCTGGAGTGCAATGGCGCGATCTCGGCTCACCGCAACCTCCGCCTCCTGGGTTCAGGCAATTCTCCCGCCTCAGCTTCCTGAGTAGCTGGGATTACAGGCAGGTTAACTTCTCTTAACGCCTAACACAAAATTACTCATAAAGTAGCCTCTGAAAACAGCACTTTTTAATCAGACACGACACTTTTTACCTTTTTGGGTCAAAGCGAAGACAAAATATTGAGCCTCAAGAGTTCACCAGAAACGGAACTTCGCTGGCTTACCGGAGGCTCCGTGCCTCATCATCAGAGAAGCTGGCTGGTGACAGATGCTTTCACTTTCAGAGAGGAAAAGAGCTGAAACTCGAAAGCAAAGGCAGCTGGCTGCTCACCTTGGGGGCCTGTGGAGTCTTTGGTTTCTGGAAGAACCTGGTGATTTCGGCCTTCTCTGCTTTAATACGCTGTGATGTAAGAGAAGGTGATGAGAAAGAGGGGAAGAGACACAGTGCACACTTCAAACATGCAAATGTCCCCCCAGCACCAAAACTCAAGCATGTTAACTTGAAGGCTCTACTGTGATTTTTTAAGCTCTCAAAACCCACGGACCCACAACCACGTCAGCCAATCTCAAAATGTCTGAGTTGCCCTTGCGGATGGAAGTGCCAGGGTATGGGACCAGTAGGCGTGTGACAGGCCAGCACTGGAAAGAAGCAAAAGGATGCAGATGCATCTAGACAGATTCGTCCCTCCCATGGGCGCCATTTGGTTTCCTCAAACCAAGAGAACATTAGGCGACAGCTGTGGGTAGAATTCCACCTTGTGCATCTGCTTCTTCAGCGGGCTGGGATGGGGAAGTTCTGAAGGAAACACGCTACCTTCTCCTCTTCTCTTAACCGTTTCTCTTCTTCCTTTTTCCTTTTCTCCTCAAGTTTGGCCCTGTGAGACAGCAAATAACATTTCAGCCGACTCTTTGCTATGGTTCTGGAAGGGACCATGGCACGCAACTGTTAGTATATGGCAAGTATTTAATTTTACAGTAATGAATATGTTACTTTCACATTACTATAAAGCTGTAACGTAGACCTTCACAATAAAAATGGAAAATAGACAATAAAATTCTTTCTGTGACTAGAATATTCTGACTTTAGCCAGCCAATGCATAATTACCACAAACAAAACCCATATTCCTGCGATGCAAATGCGTCAGTTGGTTGGGAACTGGAAGGACAGTCACAGGCAGAGACAAGGGGCCCAGTGTGAGTGGACGTGGGGGAGCACGAAAGAGCAGGGAGCTGCTTTCCACTGCTCCCACGTCGGGGCCGCACGTGCAGCTCACACAGGAGAAACAGAAAGGAACTGATGGGAGCCCCAGTCTGCCTGCGAAACACCAAAGGCCCATCACAGCGGCCAGAAGTGGAATCCAGCAGTGGGGAGGTAGGCCCAGCATGGCTGAGGGCACTCACTCCAGGGCTTCCTGCCTCTCCTTGCGCCGCTCCTCCTTGAGCCGCTGCTTCTCCGCCTTCTCCTTCTCATCTTTCTCCCGTTTCTCCCGCCTCTCCTTTTCCTTCAGCTCCTTCTCTTCCTCTCTCTTCTTCTTGGCCTCTTCCTTGGCCCGCTTGGCCTCCTCTTTCAGCTTCTCCTTTTCTTCTCTTTCTGCACGTAACTTGAGCTGTTTGCCCAGGCGCTCCTGATCCTACAAGACAGTGTGGCAGATGACATGTGGCCTTCTTGCCAGCCGCCAGGAGGGAGCTCACGACAGTGTCAAGTGGCTCTCTCTATAGCTCCCAGGAGGAAGCTCTGATCAGAGCATGCGGGACAGCTGGTCCTAGACGAGACGGACAGAATTTGGGGACCAAGGCTGGGTACAGTGGCATGTGCCTTTAATTCCAGCACTTTGGGAGGTCAAGGTGGGTAGATCACCTGAGGTCAGGAGTTCCGAGACCAGCCTGGTCAACATGGTGACACCCCGTCTCTACTAAAAATACAAAAATTAGCCAGGCGTGGTAGAGGGTGCCTGTACTCCCAGCTACTCAGGTGGTTGAGGCAGGAGAATCACTTGAACCCAGGAGACCTAGGGTGCAATGAGCTGAGATCACACCATTGCACTCCAGCCTGGGCAACCAAGTGAGACTTAGTTAAAAAAGAAAGAAAGAAAATGAATTCAGAGACCAGCTCCAGGAAGAGCCTCCAATCAACAACCTTACACAGAAGTAATTTTATTTTTTTTGAGATGAGATCCACTCTGTTGTCCAGGCTGGAGTACAGTGGTGCAGTCACAGCTTGCTGCAGCCTCGACCTCCCAAGCTCAAGCAATCCTCCTGTCTCAGCCTCCTGAGTAGCAGGGAATACATGCACATGCCACTATACCCAGGCATTTTTATATTTTTCCTAGAGACGGAGTTTTGCTGTGTTGCTCAGACTGGTCTTGAACACCTGGCCTCAAACAATCCCTCTGCCTCAGCCTCCCAAAGTGTTGGAATTATAGGCATAAGCCATAGCACTCAGCCACAGAAGTGATTTTCATCATCTATTATGCTTCCCTCCATCATGAGAAAAATGTTAATAATTAGCCCTGTGTCCCGGTACTTGTAAGCAAGTCAATATAAGATTCATTTAAAACACAATCTGGCTGGCACAGTGGAGCTCACTCCTATAAATCTCAGCACTTTGCGGGGCTGAGGCAGACAGATTGCTTGAGGCCAGGAGTTCGAGAACAGCCTGGCCAACAAGATAAAACCCCATCTCTACTAAAAATACAAAAAATTTAGCCAGATGTGGCAACGCACACCTACAGTTCCAGCTACTCAGGAGGCTAAGGCCCAAGAATCACTGGAACGGGGAAGGCAGTTCAAGATCACGCCATGGCATTCCAGCCTGGACAACAGAGCGAGACTTTGTCTAAAAACAAACAAAAATCCTCAAAAACATTTACTAATTTGGAGATGGGGTCTCATTCTAGTGCCCTGGCTGGAGTTCAGCAGCACTATCTTGGCTCACTGAAACCTCTGTCCTGGGCTCAAAGCAATCTTCTGGCTGGGCGTAGTGGCTCACGCCTGTAATCCCAGCACTCTGGGAGGCTGAGGCGGGTAAATCACAAGGTCAGGAGCTCCACACTGACTGGTCAATATGGTAAAACCCAGTCTCTACTAAAAATACAAAAAAAAAAATAGCTGGGCATGGTGGTGTGCACCTGTAGTCCCAGCTGCTTGGGAGGCTGAGGCAGGAAAATTGCTTGAACTCG